TATTATATAATTTAGAAGCATTATAAGAGAAGCAACGGGTGAATTGTGCTGTGTGGTGTTTGGGAATGAGTAGAATATGTTTGTTACGGGAGGAATTATTACGTGAAAGTGGGACCAATTTTCTACGTAGGTAAGGCGGGTATCCAGTTTTCAATGTTTTATGGGTGAGAGTTAGCATATGCATCTCCCTGCACAGCTTCAATTTCAGCCAACCTGAATCTTGGAAGGATGTACTAATATGGTCATACTTACGGATGCCGTATGAAAATCGTATGCAGCTATTTTGTATCCTCTGTAGCCTTGTAGCATCTGTATCTAGTAGGGCAGGACCATAAATACAGTCACAGTAGGACAGTCTCGAAAAAATGAGAGATTCACACAGTCTCAACTTCATATTTTTTGAAATCAGGTCCCTACTAGGATATAACTGTCTCAGGATATTGAAAGATAACCTACATAAGTGGTTTACATGTTTAGTGGATCTCATATTAGTATCAAGATATAATCCCAGATTCTTGCATTCATCCACAAATGGTATGACGTTGCCGTCAATACGAATAGAAATAGTGTCACTCACAATATGTTTCTTAGTTCTTGGACCAAAAAGCATGACTTGGGATTTCTTAGGGTTCAGTTTCAAGTTGTGGGCACACGAAACTTCGAACAATAGTTGAAGATTTTCATTGATTTCAACTTCAGCATGTTTTAAGTCATCAAAACTGAAAGATCTATATAATTGTGTATCGTCAGCGTAATGATGTATATTGCCATACCTTATGTGTTCATGAAAATCACTTATATATAGCGCAAACAGGAGCGGTCCCAGTACAGATCCCTGAGGTACTCCAAAAGGTTTCACGAGAGTGGTAGATTGATTTTCTTCGATAATAAGACTTTGAGTCCTATCTGATAGATAACTACGCAACAGGGACACTGCGCTACCTGAGAGGCCAAAACACGTTAATTTCTTGCACAGAACAGCTGAATCGAGAGTATCAAAGGCTTTGCTATAATCAAGCAAGATAAGACAAGTGAAATGACCATTATCGAGAGATTTGAAAATATCATCTGTTATTTGACTCAAAGCTGTGGTAGTGCTGTAGTGTGGGCGAAAACCCGACTGAACATCAGTTAATAAATTTTTCTCACAGGCAAAAGTCGTGACCTGCTCCTTGATAACCATTTCAAAAGCTTTAGATAGAGTAGGTAGAATGCTGATAGGTCTTATGTCTGAAAATTCTTTGGGGTCATTACACTTAGGCAAAGGAATTACTCTAGCATGTTTCCAAAGAGAGGGAAATGTGGAAGAATCGATGGCAAAATTGAAAATGAAAGTGATATGTGGAAGCAACTGGGGTATAACTAACTGCAACATCCGAAGAGAAATATCATCAGATCCTAGAGCATTGCTTTTTATCTTATTCAAGAATTTCACGACAGTTCCACATCCTACAGGATGGAATTCGAAAACAGGTTCATATTTAGGAATTGCATATAATGTCTCACACAGATCGTCTCCTGCGGTTTTATCTAACGTCGGAATATTAATGAAGTGTTCATTCAATAGGTTCAGATTTCTCAACCCAGGTGGTAGGTGAGATATATTTTTATCCCGAAGTACTTCAAGTGACCTAAGAGTATTCCAGGTAGCTCTAGGGTTATTTAGTCGTAATACGTAGTTGAAATATGCACATTTTTCACGACGAACGGCACCACAAACATAGTTGCGCAAAACTTTGTAGTATTCCCAAGATGCAGGTGTTCTCAACCTTTTATACCGTTGAAAGGCTTTCCGTTTCAGTTCAAGCATAAGCCTGATGTTATATGTGATCCATGGTTTTGCAGGCTTAGTCACTCTAACTCTACGGCAAGGAGCATGATGATTAAATATAGCAATCAAGTTGTCATTGAAAAAAGATAACATATCATCCACATTTCCAAATAGGTAAATGGTATCCCAGTTAACACAGGATAGGTCATGATTGAATGAGTCGATATCAAAGTTTGCGAAATCTCTATAGGTAATGTATTTTTCATAACTATATTTAGGAAAGTTAATATCACACATAATAGCAAAATGGTCTGAGATACCATCAATATCGACAACGTCAATTGATGAGATAAGTTCTGTGTGGTTCACAATCAAAAGGTCAATGAGAGTTTGACTTGCATCAGTAACCCTGGTAGGCGTGTTAATCAACTGGAACAGACTGAAAGAATCAAGAAGATTTTGCAAAAGTATACTTTTGCGATCACATTTCATCATGTCGATGTTGAGATCACCAACAACAATAAATACATCACTGTCAGGAAGATAATTGACTACAGCTTCTTCAAACTCATTTATACAATTTATTATAGATGCAGAAGGAGGACGGTAAACGACAGACATAACAATAGATTTGTGACTAAATTTGATTAACACCCAAAGTTGTTCAAGAAACGGACTGACAAAGGAATAGAGAATTGTGCATTCCAAATCATTTTTGCAATAAAGAGCAACTCCTCCCCCAAGGCCATTTCTATCAGCATGTAAAAACCTGTAACCTTTTATTGCCACCAAATCAAGATCACTTCGCTCGTTCAGCCATGTTTCTCCCAGGGCTACGATATCAAGATCATGATCAAGGATATATTCACGCAAAGTACTGAAACCTGTAGAGAGGGATCTCACATTGAAGTGCATCAAACTGATATTTTTCTGCATGACAACGATAGTGAATATTGATAAGAGAATATGAATCAAGTTTATAATAAGTAAGTGAGACGTGATATACAGTAAAAGTTAAAAGTGAAAGAAAAAGTGGTTGCTATTAATCTGTGAAAATAATTTACTACTTCGAAGAGCTATTCTGTCTTGTTTTCCTCTCGGTGCCCAGCCCCTGGAGTGGATTTAGTTGTTTTTGTTTCTTGATTGCGGGTTTGACTGTTGTGTTTAGTAAGTCTGTGGGAGCTATTACATCAGTAACTATTTCGGGTGAAGAGTTGTCAGTGATTGGTGGAGGAAATGAAGGAGAAGATGGTGCACTATAGGACTCCCTTTCCCTCTTATTCGATGATTTTGTATCTTCTTTAGTGACGCTTTCTTTTTCTAACTCATCCGCGGTATAAGCTTTTCCATTGATCAGCAGTTTTTGGCCCACTATTTTAGCAGAGAGGTTTTTTTCTCTCGCTTGCTTCATGTGCTTCACCAGAATGCTATTGTTCGAACGGTCTTCGTAACAGAGATCATGTACTATAGTTATATTACTACCTTTCAATTTTGAAATATTTTGAAATATCAAATTCTTCTTCAAATGTGATAAAAATTCGATCTTCAAGGCGGGCTTAGAAGTATTCTTGAGGGGGAAGAAATTATTGAGGTCGGTCACACATAAAGTAATCCCCAACAAGCTATTGAGTATATCGATTGCTTCACTTGCACTAACAGGACCAGATTCTGAAGCAATACCAAATACAATTATATTGTTTTTTCTGGATCTTCTTTCCAAGATGAGATTGTTTTCTGTGAGCTTTTCACACTGCTTTTCCAGTACGGAGATTTTTAGGTTTTGTACTTTGATGACATCTATCAATTTCTGATTTTCAGAATCTATGTGTACTTTCAAATCTAACTTCACTTTCTCATTTCCACATTCAATAGCATGTAAGAGTTTCGTGTATAATTGGTTAGTTGTCAACTGGTCATCATTATTCATGTCTGCACCACGAAATAAGCTTAATTAATAATGAACCGTTGGTGGGATAGGTGTATGACCTATACTTTTATTTCTTTTATAAGTTTTTTCTCTCGTAGGTTGGGATATTTGTAGTATCAAAACATGTAATGTGTTGAATAAATAGGAAGACTTACAGTTTTCTTTCACTACAGTAGATGCTTAACAAGCCAATGTTTCACTTCTGGTTCTCGAGAAAAATTTCGAATCTATAACAACCAGCACTTTTATCTCGTAAACACAGAGGAATTTTCAGTGAGACTATACTCTTCTTCCACCAACGGTTGTTCAAAATATCGAAAATTGTTGATATCCGACCTCATTCTCAATTATGAGTAGGTAGTTGGAGAATATGCAGAAGAAATGAAAATTGATAATTGTTGAAAATGAAAGTCCATAAGACAGGGAGTGGAATTCATTCTTAGCAATAAAGGTTCACAGTCAGAAGTTTACATCAACTTTCTGAGTTGTAGTAGTGAATGAGATGGAGGTCCAAGTTTTGCTAGATGATAATAAGTTTGGATTCAATGATTCAAAATGCATTCTTCTCCCTATGATATGAAATTGAGTAGGTGGTCACAACTTCAAAATATTCTAGCAAGACACAGAAACAGCTCAGATCACACCGAGAATAATCCCAAATGATCAGACCGAGCAACAGAAAATTAGCTAATTTCATGACTTGATAGAGAGGAGTTTGATATATCTGGAAATCGCCCTCATAGTATCTTCTGAAAATCGCTAACCTCATTCCAAAAATCTCGCAATTTTCATTGATCAATTGAAAGAAAATAGATATTCTTCTTCTACAATAATTATGTACTTTATGATATGAGTACACCACTTCTCATTCTGTGTATGAACTCATTAGGGTTTCTTTCATTCTACTCAACAAACGATACTCATTGCAACATCTATCTTCCAACTTGTATATGTCTCCAAGCAATGACTTGAATGGTTGATGTTAAATGCCAGTTGTTTATTTTATCAGAGAAACTGAATGGTACCTGGAATGTGACCTGACGCATTATTTCTTGCAATTTTCTTAATTAAAATTCAATTATTCATTTCAATGACAGAAGACTTCCTGTGTAGATTGAGTTAACTCATGAAGATCTATTGGCAAATGGATATCGGCTAGATAACAACTCTTCAATATCATTATTGATTGGGATAACCTAGTTATTCGAAATTCTACATATTTTCGAATATTGGCCCATTGTGGAACGGAGGTGGAAAAAAATTGAATCAACTCTGAATGTTCATACAGGCTGATAAACTCACTTATTCATTTTTGGAATATCATAACCAGTGCCGCTGAAGTCAGGCCGCACAGATGCAGTGAGCAGCCAACCATGTTTGTCAAAGTCCTCTCTGACTCTTTCCAGAAACACATTCAATCTTTCCTGAAACACATGAATGAGTAATAATTTTCATTTATACGTTCACGGTTCGAATTGAGTTTATTCCATTTGTTCAGATCGATATAATGACCCACTGAATACCAAAGCACGCTTCCTTATCCAACACTTCCCAGTTAGTTCCGGAATTGAAGTAAAAATTTGATGATGATCAGATTACTAATTCCTTCATTTCTAAGTCACAAGTCGTGTTGCTACACGAGTGCATGATACGAATGTCTTTTTGTTCCATTATATCATGATATCATAAAAACAGAAGGACTTTCTGATTTGATTCATCGAATGAGTTGTATATGTTGAGATCACTTCATGGATACAACAATATTATCAACGTCGTTTTTGCCTTCATTCTGCATTGCAGTTTTAGCGTTTTGAAACTAAGGAAACCAGAGATTCAGGAAAGCCAAAATAGCAAGTCGTGTCACCGTTCGGAATTTCATGAAGTAAAGCGGTAGCACTGATGAACTTGGAAAGATTTTTGATCCCCTTCATAATGACAGTAATACTAACTTGATCAGAAATTCTCCAAAACAAATCAATCTTGAATATCAAAAACGGTTTCTACTAAAGTTCAGGTTTGAGTGCTACATGTTTCTGAATACTAAATCATAATTATGTTAGAAATTGAGTCATCTTGTTTCATTTGATGAGGAAGCGTAATACAAAAATGAAGATGAGCATATATATGTAGAAATACTGAAATACAGGAGCGGAAACATGGTGTTTTTGATAAATAATACCGAAATTTCAATCAATCAAGCATGTGTATAAATGAAATGATCTCAAATACTGTCTTTAGCTCAATCGAGGAGGTTGTATATGCATTATTTCTGATTATTTCGATTACCTCTCCTCGTTTCTACAGAAGGAAAATATTATGAGTACCTAGGTATTATTTCAATATACGTGTAGTGAAGAGAAATCAGAGGATTCACCTCAAAACATCACTGCGTTCGAAAAATTTTGCGATTAAAGAGCCTGCAAACAAATATGCATTCGCTTGTCAGTGACACTTCGTTTTGAGAATGGTTTGGAGAAAATAAATACTGGTATATAAAAACTATTCGATTTTCACTCATCTTTGTACGTTTCAGGAACGAATCTGTTTCTGTTTTCAACGACGAAAATGTTTTTTTTTTACCATCACTAGCTATAGAATGTATAATAATCAACCCCTTTTCGAAGGCTCAGAGTGTGTTTTCACCACCAAAGTAGAGTATTCATCCTTTCATCAAAAAAACATAGCCACCTGTTATAATCAACCCGAATTCATGCACTGTTCTACGAGATTCGCATTTATGGCACTATCGAATGTAGTATAATCAGGTATTCATCAATATCGGCTTGTCATTATGCTGTCATCGTCATGGCTATAGGATATTGATTAGATTTGGGGAGACGTGCTTTCATAGTGACAATTGGTTCATATTTCAGTTTCACAGAACTAAAAAGATTGAAATGTATTGCCAGTGGTGAACAAAATTCAATACACATCTTGAGAATATACTTTCCGACTGAAGCCTTGGAATATAATCTTTGTCCTTGGGTTATAATGATATTCTTCACTACCTTGGTGTATAAATCACTATTCTTGAGAATTGTCTTCAGTTATCAGTGTTGATATTCCTCAGTGACAAATGGTGACGTTGGCAAACAAATGAGTTGAGAAATGTTATCATCAATAATTATTAATCTCGAATTTAATACTTATGTTCAGATTTCAGTAGTGAATACCATGTTCGCTAGCAATATCAACTGAACAGGAAGCAATGCTTTCGTCTCCGTACAGAAGAATGCAAGCGGATTCCTCAATGTCTCTATTTTGGTTTATATCTTCCTTCTTGATGATTTTAATATCATTATACTCTGCCATATGGACAACATATGTTCTTGATACACGTATATTGTGAAAATACCCATAATATTCCTATTTTATGAAAACAAGATGAAATAATCACAACAAATCTGCAATTATAATATAATCTTCCTCAGCAGAAAGATCAGTAAGTTTACAAATAGGTAATCGCAAGACTTATTTTTGTTCATCAGGAAAAAACTGAAACAATCGATGAAACTGTCAGGAAACGAATAAAATCCATCAATCCTGAACATATTATATCCACTATACAAGATATTATACAAGTCAAGAAGAATAAAATCTTCAATAACTCGAAGTTTAGATTCAAGTTATTACTGATGGCTGAAATATCGATTCTCGATATTATTAACGTATCGATATTTCAGATCGATTGATGAACTTGATATTATAGATATCATCGTTATTATCTGTATGGTCAATATCATTGATATCAACGTTGATATGGATAATATTGATAATATCAATGATATTCTCGATATAATCCATATTATATATATTATCGATATTATACATACAAAACTGTATACTACACTATTAGTATCATATTCTTTTGAAGTGGTAATATTTGATGATGGCAAAGTATTAAATAATTTTTGTATTAAATATCGACTTTTTTTTCAATGTTGCTTAGAAAATTGATGATACACGTTAATAGCAAATGTATATTGATGAGTATACTGTGTTTGTAATACTTTGTATCGGCTTGATGAATCGATTCAAAGTCAGTGTCGTAGACTCGGAAAATTGTGAGCAATAAAGACATTCTGAACGATTAACGAAATATCGATGAGTTCGCTCACTCCTGCTCATGAATATTATTTTGTGTGGTTCAAGTTTCTTTTCGATTGTGGGATCATGAATCTAGTGGTGAAGTGAAATTTACCGTCAGCTCAGTTTTCAACAAGTTTAAGAAAATTCCATACCCTGGAAATTGAAAATTCAACCGATCTTCTTGATGCTCTTTATTCTGCTGAGAACATTCTTTCTTGATTTTTGAAAGAATGTGGAATTCATTCGGGTTGTTTGGTATCGAGTGGGTCACACAGTAGTTAGAATCAGGCATGAAAATTCACCTTTTCAGCTTCCTTTGGAGAGTCCCAATCGATATTGAGGCCGTCAAATTTATAAGTATTGATGAAGTACCCAGCACTTCCCAAAAAACCCAGAGTTCTACCAACTGCTCCTACCAGTCTCCTGAATAAATTGTAATCCGTCACTGCTGATCCGCCAACGCTGAATAAAATTTTTAAATTTGGATTCTTGAGTTTCATATCAGCTACTCTATGGTATAATCCAACTGAAAAATAGATCCGAATTATGTGATTCAGATTGGCAAGCAACGTTGAAGATAACTTCAGATAGAATTGTATCTTGATTGGTAAATTCATTTTCATCGAGGGAATCATCACGAAGAACATACGATAGAGGTGGTTTCATTGCTTCTCATCAAGCTAATGTTGATGGACCATTGAAAATCAATTAGCACATGTACGTTGATTCAAAGTTAATTTAACATTGAATGGGTAAAAAATAGGTGACACGTTGATTTCTCACGTTGTCAATACTAACGTTTCATGAATACGTTTCAGTAACATATATTCAACGTACATATCCCACGATTCCTTGATGAATTTGTTGAAAAAAACGTATTCTTCAACTTCAATTCAAATTTCGATTGAGAAAATCATTATTTTCCGCAACATTTTCACCAACTTTCTACGGTTAGTTACACAACCAATTCCTGACGTTTTTTCAACGTCAAGGTGCTCGTTGATACCTACTTTCCCAGACGGCCCCACATATTCCTGGAATATGCCTACTACATCCAATTTTCCAATGAATATTGCATTATCCCTGGAATATTCCATGAATATGTGCTTGATCTAATATCCTCAGAGAATATTCCTGAAATATATTTTCCGAATATTCATTAGATATCCTCGAAGAATATTCCCTGAATATGTTTATCGAATATCCATTAGATATGCTTTTCGAAAATTCCAGGAATATTTCAAAAGCAGATTGTCGGAATGTCGACCTATGCCGAATGGACACGACACGTGTCTGTCGGTCATCGCCTTTTGTTCCACATTCCACAGTCACCTAGTGAAGGACGTGATATCAACATGGGCGAATATGCCTCGATTGTTTTTATTATAAACAGACAAGAAGAGCATGGAATTATTAGTTTGAGCAGAAGTGCTAGAATGTGTATCGATTACTGTGAATAGTGTTTTGACATCAATATAAAGTTTCAGACGTTTGAAGTTAGTTACAATTCAAAAATGGAACAAACTGAAGAGGGTCACAAAGGAGAAATGGCACTCAATACCAGTATGAGGTATACCTAAGATTATACATCAATGAATTCATATAATCTATATAACATCGGAAAAATGAAAGGGGTGAGTGATTCTGTGATGAGAATGAAGGTATTTGGTATAGAATTTTTTGATAACCCTATCAACCCCGGATAAGTTACACACATCCGAAGATAAAAAAATACATGGTTTTTATTTTTGAACTTCCCTGTATATTTAGTTAAAGACACGAAACTTGGTAAATATCATGTGTCAATAAAACTACACATTTTGAAATGTTTTACACCCTGAAGTATGCTTAGAAGGGGTTATTGGAATATATTCATTTCACAATTTAAAAAAAAAACAGATGAAAAGCCCAATCCATTTGCTAACTTATTGTTGATCTCTGGAAAAGCATTCGCCATGTTTAAAAAAAAAGTGTTCATAAAAAAAAGTTGTGAAAGAAATATCTTCTTCCCTTCTGAGCATACTTCAGGGTTGAAAACACTCCAAAATGGGTAGTTTTCTTGATGAATAATATTAACAAGTTCTGTGCCTTTAGTCATATACAAAGGAAATGAAAAATAAAAAATCATTTTTCTAATTTTGAGAAGGGTGTTATTACTATTCCGTGAAGAGATTTTTCAAAAAAATGCATACCAAACGCCCACCTCAATTTTCATCACGAAATCACCACTTGAAATTTTTCTCTGTTATTTAGATACACCCTGTAGATGCACCTCATTTTTTTTCAGTACTTACTTATATCTACCCATCTGTCAAATGTAGAATTCAGGAAATACTCGTGTTGTTGAAGATACAAACGTGACAAAGAAATAAATAATAGATTGAAATCAGCTGATTAACTCAGATGTTGACAAATTCAGTATCTAGTTCTCTCAACTTTTGTAGCACGCCCAGAGCAAAGGTGAGTGAATTCAATCAATTTTCATATTCTAGTATTTGCTATGTTATAATCATTGCAGATCCTGTTGAATTCATCACCGCTACCGTTCAAGAGAAGAAAAAAATCATATGATATGATATATAAAGTGCAAGCTTCAAGTATTTTACTAACCTACATCCTGTATGTTGATTTCCATCTTTTACATAATAAATTACATTTCATACAGATATTTCATTCTAGTAATGATTGAAAAGCATATTCTATGCATATACAAAAAACATATTCCTAGTATATGCCACCAATCTCTTTTGGAAGATTCACAGATATTCCTGGCATATGTTTCATGGTGACCTTGGATATTCCTGGAATATGCATATTATATGTTTTGGAGGACATGGAATATCCATGGCATATGGCAATATTCCAACGCAATATGCATAGGATATTCATGGAATATGATTGTGCCGTCTGGGTTGGAAATTTAAGTATGGAAATAGTGAACTCTTGGAATATATCTCGTATATATTGGCAAGTGATAAGTCTTATTGTTATCTCAATCAATACTAAATGATTGATGATTTACTTTTTGAACCCCAAGAAGTTATGTTCCAATCGTATTTATCCGGGATTTCTCAATGCAACTACATAAAAGACAAATCATAAAGACTTTAGTGTCAAATTGAGTACATGACATATCACAACCTCGCAAAGCATATTGATTTTGATATAGAAATGGATCTCCTGAAACAAGATTCCGAATATGAGTTCGATGATGAAATTGAAAGTAGGATTGAAATTGTGTTTAACAAAATATGAGTACTGACCTAAACTCATTCATAAGATTTCTTGAAATGTTCATTGATATGAGTAGAAAGGGCTACTAAGATAAGACCAGCCCTCAATAACCTCTCATTTGATGACTCTATTGAAATTTGGCTAAACACGTTGATTTAAATACCTACCAAGAGGAACAAATTTTGAGGTATTCATTGTTTAGTCATCTCTAACCCCTTCAGCCTCATGACATTCTCTTCTGAACATCAAAATAGTAACGTCCACTTATTCTGTCATCTTCGGAATTCTTATGGAATTACTTTGGGTTACATCTCTATTCAATATCAGCACACAACCTCACGGATTCTTGTATTGTCATTCATGATGATTATGAAAGTGACATACTATACCTGAGTTACTAGGTAATCACTTCAACAATCGTTCAGATTGGTGTCCATTGTTTTGTAAGCAAAACTAGAGCCAATATTCCAAAGACCTTGCAGATGGTCCGAGAACAGTTTAAACATTTGTCTGTAATTGTGATGAAAAATAAACAATGCAGATCATTCTGATTTTTTTATGGAGGGACAAGTTGAGTCTGTGTGTCACAATTATTTTCATCACCATAACAAATACCAATCAGTAATCGAAGTTGTGTTTTGCCATTTTGACGAAGAATAGATGAAACTCATCTGGAAGATGAGTTCAAGAATAGCAGAGTACGAAAATTGATTTTCAAAATTCTAGGGGCGGTGGTCGCCCTGACGGTGTGAAGGTTGAATATGAGATAACAAGAAGAAGATACCTCTGAAGTTGGTCTTCGATTGTGAATTGACGTGTTTCTCCAAATTTTCATGTGTCATTATTTGAAGACATATTGAGTGCTGCTCGTTTCCGAATTGTCACCTTGTGTGTAGCATGAGTATCGGCTCAGTGTAGCTAATCAATTCCACCCACTGTGCAAAAAAACATACTAGTAACGTTTGGTCGAAGGCCTATCGACATCTCAAAGACCGTCTTAAAGTCGTTATATGTCCACCAACATAACAATCACATTAGTGACGTTAATATAAAGTAGCAAAGTTTAACTTATGATATAGAAGGTTCGTTAAAAGTAACAATGTCACATAGTTATGTTATTATGACGTACAAGTGCTGTGTTCGCAGAAACGTCGCCGGGGATACAATATTTTAACGTTAATGAACCTCCTAAGGATGTTTCTTGCTCAGTGGGCAACTACTTCAGGTTCGTTAATACTTTTATCGCGTGTTTGTATTGATTTAGAAAATGAGATGTTGTTGGCTCAAAAATGGATTTTTGAATGAGGAATGGTATTCCTAATGACTTTGAAGACATTTCTAGATATTGTAGTTCATGAATGGTAGGGAGACACATTTTTCGCCAGTATTTTTCGATATCTGGATTGTTAATTGGAATAGCAAGATTTCCATCCCGACCAATGTCGAATTTATAATTCGTTTTTTCCACAAATCAAAAGATATTGGTGCTACTGTTATTATTTTTTCCTGATGAATAACTTCGAATATTCCATGTCTACCCACCGTCGACTCCGACATTAAACTTGAAATTTTGATTACTATCTTGATTCGATTTCAATTCATCGAGGAAATATGACTATGTGGCACTCATACTCATAATCAACATGTGAATTGATTATTTATCGATGAATGGAGGTCAGACTGTTGAATTACCTAGGTACCGTCATCGTGGGTGAAACGGATATAGTGGGATGAGGATGATCGTAGTGTACTTTTATAAGAGCATGCAGGCTTTTGTGAACAACTATATGTTCATTGTTCAAACCGAGAAAGTATCAGCATTACCGGCAACAAGCTCATTGATATAACCAATCATCAAGTTTGATTGAACCACAGGTGAGTAGAAAAAAGAGTTCGAATTGATATTCAGAATTAGGTCTGTTTTTGAAAGTTTGACAAAACCTACGTGGGGATTCACTCATTCAATACATACGAGCAAGGAAACGTGAAACGGAAAAGAGCCAATAAGATAACTTGTTTATGAAAATGAAAAAAAAAGTTGTGCCAGAAGGCAATCGCAATTGAATCGTGAAATATTCAAAGAGAGCTGTGAGAGCTTTCGAGAGAGGTCGACGAAGTATAAGGAAGGGCGTCCAAATAGTTCGCAGTCCCTTTCACCACCTTGAAACGTGATAGCCGTTCTCATGAAATGTTTCTTGTTAGTAATCAATTAATATTTTTTCAAATTGATTCTCCTGAAACTCTCCACCCCTTGACATGTTTGAAGTGATTTTCCAGGAATGTGATAGTTATAATCCTATTCACCCCAAAATGCGTAGTGAAGCGGATCACACTTTAGAAATATTTGATTATTCGTTCATGATAGTTGAATCTTCCATTTTTTCACGAAGCACTAGAAGAAGGATATATGAATCATATCAATTTTCAGCACTCTCTCAAGGAATTCACTTTATTGGTTGCAGTACTGGGGAAAATCAGGTTCTGATCCGTTTCATCACAGTTAACGGTGCGTCTTAGCAAGAATGTTTTTTTCGGCATCTACTTTTCTTACGTGACTCATTGAGATTAAGATTTTTTGTTCCGTTTCACTGGTTATCATCAAGTAACATCAAATATCTTATTGTTTCAATTTTCAGGTGTCACAGTTCCGATTTTATCTACTACTACTCAGGAATGTAATTTCACATTCACACAATTCACGATTAGACATTCACTCACAGGCAACCTTGATGATGACGTGTATAGAGAAAGCTCTGCAAGAACAAATATATTGGTACAACGAATACTAATCAATTTTTTTCCTTCTACTCCTACAATTTTTATGAAATGAATCAAAAATAAGATTCGACGATATCAAGAACATTTCGTGAACTAAAATCAGTGAATATTCGAAACTTACTCTTTCCTTCTTCGTCTATTTCTAATGAATCATTCCTGACCTTCACATCTCCTTTAGTCCAAAGACCCATAGAAGAATATACCAGGTGAGTACAAAGATTCGGATCAAAATCTTCTGGAATCACCTTATGGTTCGGATACCACTGAGCATCATAGGTACATATGACTTTCATATCTGGAATGGTGGGTGCAGTTGTCACGATGACTGGAGGTTTTGGTGTCCCCTTTGGAGGACCTTGTGGATTTTTAGTGATACATTCCGGTTGTGGACCGTTCCAAGATCCTTGGTTACAATGTATAGAACCAGATTGTTGTTCACCATTTTTACGGGGACATGTGAATGTCATAATGGCTCCTTGAGCTGCTTCAGAGCAAACTATCTTCTGGTTGGTTTCATCAACGCACTCAATGAATGCATCGGTGGAGAAATACAGTAATGGACACACCACTGTAGAAAAAGGAATTTTTATTAATAAAAAGTTACAAGAATCGCAACAATCTCTTACTCTTGCAATTTGGAAACCTTGATGATGCACAGTAGTATCTGGAATCTGCACTATCCAATATGTAGCCTGGATTGCATGAAAAGGATAGTAGGGTGATGGGACTCTGAATCGTATCTCCAGGCATTTTTTTTATGCCGTTCTCCAACTCCCATTTGCCGTTTTGGGGGTAAGGAGGTAAGGTACAACGTTCTATGATATTGCTTTCTCTCTCAATCCAAGAATAATATACCGATACCTTTGTGAGCAGGGTGTTGTCTTGGGAGTTGCAAGTACTATCACGAGACTGAGGAGCAATGCTGACAACTCCATGAACGTAGTACCTGTTGATTGAAGGAGTTTCGTTAGATAGTTTTTAACGCCGTGAAAACGAGAAGTCATATGGGTAATTAGCTTGAGGCGATCAATAAAAATACTCTGCGAATTCATCAGAGGAAAATAATAGGAAATTTGATTTCATCAAGCGATTCCACATCAACTTTTCATCAATGATTATTGCCTTGTTTGATTTTATATGATCAGTTTCTACAAAAGCGCTGAAGATCCATGCGATGATGTTTATTGAAGAAACATGGCGCCGACTTTGAACTTGGCCAGCCTACTTCGAACTCGACCGACCGGAGCCTAAATATCAGAATTTGCCATTGAATTAATAACACCTCATACGACGTATTGCGTAAAAATGTTGAATAGTGGTATTCTTATGTTAGGCTATGCATGAATCGAAAACAATATTGATTATTTCAGGACAATTATCCAATAGTCGTTTCTGAAATGTTGACACCTTCAACAAACAATAGTAGGCCTTGTGAATCTGGATATTTCAGATATAAACATATATTTAAATAACTCCATTTTCTCTACATAGGCAAGCCTGTAGGAAAAATCTATAGTGTATATATATATATAATCAAAACTGACCCATATTCGAAGAGACACAAGTAAAACTTTTCATCATTTTCGAACCGTCATAACTTTGGAACCGATTCTCAATATTTCTTAAGATTCGAATAGAGAAAAACTCAAAGTCATAACAACAATAGTTCATAAAATGAACGAAAATGATAGATTACGAGTGAAAAACATCTTCTTACCTGGCAATATGCCACGCAGAACATTGGATTACATATTCCCGAAATCTATGCAATAATTCGTATAGACGAATGAAATCGCAAGTGTCGTCTTTCTCTCATCAGTACAGGGCTGTCCCTAATAGCTTCTTGACCGCCCAAGTAACATTTTGAATGCCAAATAGCTTCGATGAGACTTTAAAGAGGTTATGTGAGCGCAAATGATAGGTCTAATTTATTCTACCGTTTTGTGAATGCCCTGGAAAAAGCATATTGGCCTCCATGTCCATATAATCCTATTAAAAGGCTTTGAGATACTATGATAGAACTATCGCATGAAACAATTTGGCATTCAGCTCACTTCGGTTTCAAGAGAGCTCTGTAAGGGTCATTGAAATTCTTTATCAAAACTATTCACTCTTAACAACCCTCTTGAAACACTCAAGTTTCATTAGTGTCTCGAATTTGACCAAGAGGTTTTGAACTAATCCTATGAAAATACATCATAAAGCAATCATAAAACCAAATTTACGCTAGACCAATTAGAATTCTACTGAGGCAATAATGAAACCTGATGGCATTATTCTAGCTATGTGGAAGTAATTATTAAAACCTATGAGCCACAATGAATTCATCGAAGTCAATCATAAAATCTATAGGATTCAAGTTTTATCAAAAGTTCGTATTTTTTTGCCTACGAAAGACTCACGTTGAAATGAACTCACAAGAACACAAATAGTGTGAAATTAGGAGAAATTACTTATGAATCAAAAATCAAGTTGTGTAAGCAACAGTGAATCAGAATTCTCTAGCCCAAGCAACTCCAAACACTGCGTCTTTCAATTCATCCCACCTGAAACCACCAAATAGCAATAATTCATCATGAAGTACCATCAACGAGTCATAACGTAATGAAAAATAATTCTGATCATCGTGCTTCTGAATGGAAACTAGGAAGCGAGGAAGTTGACAACAGTTTTGCACAAATTATGTCAGATGGCGAGTTCAGCATGAATTTGAGAGAATGGAGCATTCAACACAATATAAAGCAAACTGCACTGAGTGTAGGTTGTCCATGTTCATGTTTCCTAGTCGGTTTCCTACTTAAAACCAATCACAAAATTCACAAACTGAACACTGTAAATAACAAGAGTTGGGTTATGTTAATCATGTTGATGATGTTCTTCTACTTTTTGAAACACTACCAATGAACACTACCAGGATATTCGTAAAGCTTCATAGTTTTATGAAGGCATTATCTTATAACCTTCTCGAATCAATCTTATCATTTTCGAAGCTTTGTTGTCATACCCAGGAGCAAATAGTCATGATAATGGATTTGAATATGCAATAAGTACTTCAACGGGAGAAAATCGTCTCATAAAATGCCTTATCATTACCTAAAGGTTTTATTCAAGCATTAGAGAAAGAAAATTGGTTTCAAGTATATGTATTTCGCGCCATATTTACTACAAACAGATGTCAGCCATTGATGGAAATGAAAATTTCAAGCGAAAAATAGAAAAGATGCATTGATACTGCCGTCGAAAATGTTGTTTTTCCACATTTTTCAATCGACTCACCCATATTCAGCAAACATTCATACAGTTTTTTCAACTTTTTTGACAAGTTACTAAAATTCACATCCAATTCTAACTGGTAAAAACATTTTATTTCTAGGGCGCTGCTTTTTTGAAGCATATCTGGTATGTTTTCGTCAAAAAAAATCGTAATTGTTTTCATTTTATTGCCTCAATCTTCACAAAAAGGACTATTTGTTACATTAGGAAATAATCATATTATACCGCCATGTTTGATTTCTTTTATAACTATCTATTGTTTCCACTCCATGTTGACATGTTTGTATTATAATTAGTTCTGAAGAAAGACTATCATATAACACGTTACGGACTATATTATCCTAACAAATGCTTACTGCAACTGATAAGGTTTCAATTCTAGCCAATAAGTTTTAATGTTGACATAAGAACTGTCTATAGGTTTGAACTCGTGCTAAAAGGATCCAAAGGAGGTAGTTTTGATAGGTTTCATTATTGCTTTGAGGCATACTACAATAAATTCCTATTAGTTTCATGACGAGCTTCAAGAGAAGCTGTTACAGCATCTATAAAGGTGGGCCCTTTATGTTACGAGAAGGTTGTTTAATTGTTTCAATGATCAGCATTTAAACCCCACGAGTCGATAGCTTCTTGACTGGTCTGCAGGTAGTCACACGTTCTGGAACCACTTGGGTGCAGCCCAGCGTTTAGGAAGAAAACACTTGCGATTTTATTTGTCTTTACGAATTATTGCATAGGTTTTGGGAGGATGTGATCCAATGTTCTGCGTGGCATATAGTCAGAAAAGCAGTTGCTTGTCTCTTGTTATCTACCATTTTCGTTCATTTAATGAGCTATATTGTAGCAATGAGTTTCTTTCTACTTGTGACAATTGCATTTCACTTTCAGTTTTTGCCTCTTTCCTAGTTTTTCAAGATTGTAGCAGCTCTATTCATTGAGTCAAACTCCATAACCTACTTGTTATTTCACATTCTCGTTATGATTCTCCTGAATCGGAAATCATTCCAAGTAAACTTATCAGGCTCCATCTAATAGGCCTCTATGAAACGTAAGAAAATCCATGTGCCTCGGGGAACACCTTCCTTGGCAATGTGTTCCAGAGCCTCGCTGTTCGTTGCCCTAATAACACACCTTCATCCATTGGACATCCAATGGATATCCTCACCCGGACACCCTGGACATCCATAGGATAACCACTTTGTGTACACAGGACATCCTATGGATGTCCATAGGTAATCAGCTTTCCACATTTTAGGACATACATACGTTATCCATGATGGACATCCATTTGGTGTCCATTATGGACATCCATATGGTGTCCATATATTGGACATATATACCAACCTATATATACGTATTCAAAAGACAGGTTATGTTATTTTCTTTTATTTCAAACATTGTTCATGGGTGAAACCTATAAAGTATATAATATGATAAGAAAATAGATAGTACCTACTTAGGATGATAAATTGGAAAAGAAGTGGTCCAATGCACTTGCAGCACAAAAACTGAAATGCATATTTTGCATCGTTTCTGCATTGTTTTTGAAAATATTCAATGCATTCTGAATCTGTCTCCATAATTCCTGTTCAGTATTTACTGGTCTGAAGTACACCTTAAAATTTATAGGTACTGCTCCCCATAAACTATAGTATATTTCCTCTGCCGTTTCATCTACTTATTATCTGAAAACTGTTGAATGAAACAGCAATGGACATTCAGAGTGTAATGTGTTGGAGCCTCATCATGCAAGAGCCACATGTAGTGAAAAAGGTGTTCCATAAATTTGTATCGTCAGTTTAGGTCGATGAGCAAGATAATTGGCCCCAAGATGAAAATTCCTCAATCTGCGAAATCATCAGTGGTTCTTGCCCACACATCATCTGTTGTCGTATCATTCAAGAGTTTGTCAACATCCGATGAATTGTTTTCTACTTTATAGTAGATACGTCGGAAGAACCTGTTTCAAATCCTTTTCCTTCTGTTCATTCTGGTGAAGGGTGTTTTACCTACCTATCCAAGAAATATGTTATCGTAACAATTCGCAATTAGGAACACCTGAATAGACACAGAAATAATAAGAACTTACTTGTATGAAGGCCGTATAAAGCAGGAAACTGGGGCATAATTCAACTATAAAATACTAGTAATTATCATGAAAGTCCACCAAAATGAATGAATGAAATAATCATAACCTATATTATGTTTCGAATTCTGACAGATGAATTCAGATCTTCTTCTTCTCATTTCACTCTTCTCAAAATTTCTCGCTACAATGGACATCCCGACAATACACTTATGGATGTCCAATATGTACTGCCAAGTATCCGGTATGGACATCCAAGTGGCTATTCGATGTGCGTCCATGGACATAGATAGGCTTCCAGATGGAGTACATACTAGATCATCAGCTGGATATACAACAATGTACATCAAAAGATAGTTCCATTTGGCGTCCATGGATGTCTTGGACGGCAAATGGATATAAAATGGATGTCGTCTGGATAACGTGTGTTATTAGGGTGGATGAACGAGTTTTGGAAACAGATGGTCTGCAGGTCTCCAAAGTGACCACGAACTTGTGCGAAGCCTCAACTAGACGGGTTTATCTCGCGGGGACTGCCAAGGGAGGAACAATTGTTGATATTTCAGAAGAGCATCGTCCATGAAAATATCTATAGAATAGAGCCGGATCGCTTACTTTTCTACAGGGTTCCAGAGAAGTGAATTTGTGAGCGAGGCATCACCCACGAGAGTCCAACAGTTTCAGGGTATGTTTGTGTGCTGCAATCCAAATATGGGAACAGTATTCAAGGACAGGTCGAATCTGTACCTTATAGATCATAAGCAGCTGACTGGAAGTTGAATAGGTCTTGGCTCGAAACGGAAAACCAAGTTTTTGGAATGCACTTTCGGCAATTGATCTCACGTGATTTTCCCAAAAAGGTTATTGCTGTTAGTAATACCAAGCATCGAAATGGCATGGTTACTCCTGAAAAGCTTATGTTGGGCACAATGGGATCGGCTTTTTCAAAGAAAATGCATACTTGTGTTTTGTTTGAATTGAATTCCACCAAGTTATTGGATCCCCATTCGAGAATTGTTGCCAAGTCCATATTCATGTTGTCATATGTCGTTCGTTACTGATTTGCCTGGCTGGTATTGGAGCCCTGGAAGAGAAGGCGGTATGGAGGGTACTATCACCCGCAAAGCTGTGTACTGGACATGGAGTTGCTTCCAACAAATCGTTTATATGGAGTAGAAATAGTGTTGATGCTAGAGTTGATCCTTGCGGAACACCAGCATTTATGATGAGAGAGTCAGATGAAACTCCGTCGACCACTACATGGAGAGACCTGTTTGAGAGAAAACCAGCTAGCAGAGAACATAGCTGAGGAGGCAAGCCATAAGATGGAAGCTTGGCGAGGAGTCCGTGGTGCCAGACTCGATCGAATGCCTTGGAGATATCAAGTGCCACGGCTATGGTTTCACCATATTTTTCAATAGATTGCTGCCATATATGTGAGACGTGAGCGAGCAGTTCACCAGTTGATCTCTGATGACGGAAGCCATATTGTCTCTCGTTGATAATACCTGAATGTTCCAGGTTTTCCATGAGCGCGATGTTGATAGCTTTCTCCATGATCTTTGAAATAATAGATAGCAGTGCGATCGGCCTGTAGTTGCTAGGTAGGACATTTGCAAAATCATCACATTTTCAGATATTACCCTGTTGGTCTTCATGACTGACTTTGTACTCAATGAAATAAGCGATCAGAATATTGAGAGGAATTGAAAATTGGATGATCCAATTCAAAGTTATGACGGTTCGAAAATAAAATATCTGCTTGATTCACTTCAAATGTGAGGCAGTTCATTTGTGACATAGTAACACAGCGTTGTGCTTTCTCTTATTCGAAATAAACAGAAGAAAAGAAATGGAAGCTATTCTCCTCATGCTATTTGACATTGTTACGTGAATATTTCGTACTAGCTGCTTGCACGTAATTGATCAATCAGATGAAGAAATTATGTGATAGCTGACCTTGAGTGCAGTCAAGCTTGCAATGCACATGTTGAATCTTCATAAATGTTTGCGAAACTTGGTATCTCAGCTCATCAAAAACTCCTGAGGGTATCTGAGAGGGTACAGACCCCTCTTCTGATACAAATATCCACCCAAAATAACCTTTTCCATATATTTTCGTATGCAATGATTCAATGGAAATGATAATTATGTTTCGCAACTTCCAGAATGGTTTTGTATACTCATGCCGTTATATGTAGAACCTTGGCTGATAATGACCTTATTATAGGCCCAAACTGTTCCCCCAATTGTAACTATATGTTTAACCATGAAATGTCATGGAGATGATTTTGTGATTTATTCTTCTTTTGAAGAAATTTTGTATATCGTGGGAAATATTCAATATAAAATCACAGTGACCTTCAAGCTTTGTTCAGGTCCGAAAGACTGCTCTCCTTCGGACCTGAACAGAAATTTCCTGATATAAGTATATTATCTGAAAATTTAGCAGTAACCCATGCATGCATTGGGGTAGGTAAAAACTTATTTGTTAAAAGTATGTATGTTATTGGTAACGTTTGTGACATGATGATGTCATATATTGAATGTTGTACCTTCTTGTAATCACTAGACAAGTAAGTAACCTACCCTTATTTAATTACATTCAAGTCATTTTTCCTGGAATCTAACCAAACAAACAAGGTTAACTCTATGCTGACGGCACGGTTAACTTATGTAGCTTGTCAGTTCATCTGTTTCTGTACATCGTTTGATGAAATTTAAAATACTTATATATTGAATGAGAAATTCATCGTCGAATTCAAGAAAATTGGAAGAAGTCGCTACGTACCTACATATTGACAATGAATCAAATATTCATTTCCATCAATAATATGATGACATCTCTCATTAAAAAATACTTCGTGAAAATCCATAGTGATCTCTTCAAGAAGTACTTATAATTATGTAGCCTTATCAATTATATAGCCTCCGAGTTTATACAAGTATATATATACTCCTCCTATATATTTCAATTTTCATTTCAATACTGAACATATTGGTGAGTTACATTCCTATATTCTGAAACATCATATCATTCATCCGATTTGAGAGAGAATGTCAATTTTCAATTTCAGAGGAGTTTTATTTTCCATATGTTCTCCTTCTGGATATTCAACAGATATAATTGAATATTCGACAATGCAAATTGCCAGGGAAGTAGTTGTTTTCTGTTCAATATCCAGAATAATATCATGTGCATGTACGTATTCTTATCTAAAGGAGAATGCAAATTCTCAACTTCAGAAGATTTTGTTCTCAAATTCTTATCGCGTTTGTTCAATAGATATAATCCAATGTTCGTCGTGGGATAAAGCCAGGAAAGTAGTTTTTTATGTCGAATAAACCAAGAAAGACTTGATATTTCAATCACATAGAGAATGCGAATTATTTATATTTTTTATGTTCATAATTTCTTTGGGGATATTCCTTCTCAATACTCCATAGCCTCAGATTATAACAACAAGAGTCCAATCCAGTGCTCAATCAATTGGTTAACTATTTCGTCATATAGTTCGGAATACACTTCGAGACGAATTGACTAATTGACTCATTGTTGACTTGGTTCGTGTGGTTAATTTTGAGGAAAAATGGCTTTGGGTTGCGTGCAAGAACTGTCAGATGACCGACCCTGCAGGTGAAACAATGAAACACAACCTCACTTTTCATAATTGAAATAGTTTTTCATAATTATTTTAGCATTCGAATAGTGTTTTTCGGATATTCATTAATTCAAGCATGCTATCACATTGTAATATTGTACAATGCACAAAAAAAATGCAGCGGGAGATGAAGGAATCCGGTTGGTACATTATGGTTTGAAAATTGGTAATCTCTCTGATTTCTCATCGGAATTCCTTCTGGAATGAGAGCTAATAGAAATACTCGCGAAATTTCTAAAATTATGCAAGAAGCTTGGATTTATGCAATCAAACGGGAGGACTGGTCTGACATGCTGACGAAATATGATCGTGTGTGTTGTAGACATTTTCAATCTTATAGCAGTATTAGCTTCTATTGCAGAAGTGGCAGAATGAATTTTAATAAGAAATGACGAAATTTCAAAACTATTCACCTGAAAAATCATATTCCTTCGTCTCTTGCTGCATTTCTTGTGCATTGCACAACAGCACAATGGAAAGACATGCTTGAAATAATGAATAGCGCGATTCGTATTCCAAAATATTGTGAAAAACTGTTTCAATCCTTTTTGATTCTTCTGTAAACAAATAAAAGAAGTAAGGTTGTGTTTCAATGTTTTACAGAAAAGTGAGGTTGTGTTTCAATATTTTACCTCAAAGGTCGGTCATCGTGCACGCGACCTATTATATACAACATTACTTACTCGCAGGTAAACCACTGATACTGGCGCATTAGCCGGAAGCGCTCTGCGATTTGATAATGAATAATTTTAACGAAATTCAGAGTTTCTCCATTTGTTAAAAACTGTAGAGTCACCTGTTATCCTGTGGATTGATGTAAACAAGGCCACTACCACTGTCACCTTTACAAACGCTCTTATTTTGTTGAAAAAATCCAGCACATATCTTGTCATGGAAATAATATTTATTCACAAAATCAGCAGGAAGTTCTTGAGCACAACTTGTCTGTTCTTTATAAGGAATATGCAGAGTTTTCAATTGATCGGACTGAACACCGTCTTCTGTTCCACCCCATCCAGCTATCTGAAAAAAAAAAACAACATTTCTCGATATTGGCTCAAGAATCTACAAGGATTAGCTCACATTCCAGCCTAAAGAACCTAAAGATATATCGGTAACCTCCATTTAGGAAATTGTGACACCTTTCATTACTTCTTTGAGCGTTTGCCAAGAGCACTATTTCTGCTCCAAATGTCAGCCGCCGGGATATTCTCAACGAGGTCTGAGATATATCCCACGAAGAAATTCACATACAATACCTTCAGGCGAGTTCTTTGGTGGATTCGCATACAGAACCTTGCTCCGAGGACTTTGAGAGATTGCCTTGTGGCGAGCACTTCAGGACATTCGCATCAATTTCTACTGACGAGGTAAGTAACTGTTCGCAACTAGGAGTTATTTAGGGTATTTCCACACATAGGCTTGCGGTGAGAAATTCGGGAGTTCGCGTCAATTTACTCGCAACTACGAGTAAACCACGAAATTCACAAAAAATGCTCTCTTGTCGAGGTCTCTGAGAGTTCGCATCATGAACTATTCAAGGCATTCTCATGAGTATCATTTCGCGAGTTCCTCGAGATATCCTTGTTTTTATTTGAGTAACCAAGGATTTTTGTGGTAGTCATAGGCTACCAGCAGTCGGCTGTTGGCATCGTGTAACTAAGCGCCAGCTGTTTTGGATTCAGCTAAGAAGAATTTACCATTTTGTTTCAGCCAGGGAACTCCGTGAATTGAAGCTCACGAGCTCTAGCGCTTATGGAATGGAAGCATAGAACATACTAGATAGGTATGTGATGGTGATTGATCGACTATGCAAGGTCAGGTATCAAAACAGATCATTTATCCTCAGAAACAATTCTGAGGTAGAAAGTTATGACTGAAATGTTTCTGCACTGTTCATAAAATCATTCTCCTCAAATTGTTTGATTCACGGTTCTTCACCCTGTATTTTATTGTTACATCATTATCATCTTGGAGATTGACTATGTTGAACAGGTTGATCCATTTTTTTTTTGTTTTCGGAAAAGTGAGGAATAGGTCTTTGGGAATAATGAAGTCATACTAGTTTTCACCTACCCTAATGAAAACATATGGTTAAGAAGAAGTAATAGAGCGTTGGGGTTCATCAGGCCGATAGGTACAGTTTTTACGCGATATCTTAGTTTGTATAATATGCCAAAATATATTTTTCTCTTCCAACTTCTCACATCTGATTCTGGAAGAGGATCATATACCATGTGAGACAATAGTGTGTTCTCCTTCAATATTATCCAAATCGTCAGATATTTAAAAAAAATCGAATACAACAGTTATATGGTTTCATTGAAACTATCACCTAACATTGTTTTCATATATATATAGGGTGTTCGAATTCCAAGATATCGGCAGATAAACTTTTGATCTATCTACTGACATTGAATTGGAAAAAAAGACAGCCTTGTTCAAAATTCACCCTGTATCTGTAATGATGGTGGAAGTCTCCTTTGAGATTTCAGAATCATGTCTTATGTTGATATTTTGCTATCGCACATTATAAACGTTCGGAATATCTCAAGGAATTCGCACTAAGAATTTATCGTTTGTGATACCCTTGGGAGGACTTGAAGTATTCACAATAAGGATATCTGATTCAGATTACCTTCGATCAACTGTACGAAGTCGCAATGAGGATATCTCGTTCACGTTACATACGTGATAGCTTCAGAAACTCGCAACAAGAATTTCTTGTCCAGGTTACGTGCCAGCTAGCTTAAGAAACTGGCAGTAAGAATTTCTGACTCAAGTTGATTTCGTGATAACCTTGGGAATACGCTGTGGAAATGCAATCGATAACTGGAAGGTGAGGTTTTAAAGATTTCTGCATGGGACTTCAAGAAGAAATTCGCTTAGTGACAGCATATAGCGATCTTTACTACCTCACGATAGGAGATCGCATATGATCCTGATGTTGATCTCTCTGAGATCTCGCGGAGAGTTTTGTGTTACCTTGGATGCAATACATAAAATATTGTTGCACCCTGTATGTGAATTGCGCTTTATCGTAGATGGTCTCTGAAAACACAACACTTTTTCTTATACAGACGACCTGGATGGTGATGAGATTGTTTGTTCCGAACAATGGGATCCTATCATATCCATGTTATTGTGACTCTGATCAAGTCTCTAAGAGCGCCGAACTCCTCAGCAAAATTAGTACCGTCAGAACGGAAATTTAGGAGAAATAACATTAGTGAATTTTCACTAATAATATCACGAGAGGAATGACATGAGACTGTTGTTGATAAATATTGACGAATATAGGATAGTATAGGTGAGTGAAGAATTTTGATTGTAGTGAAAAACTTCAACAAACCTCTCCAATGGCTCCAACGCGAGGTAAAGGAATGTCGTCGTAACAAGCTGGCTGCACTTCTGGGCCCAAATTGAAGCTTTTATCAGCAACAAGAAGAGCGATATCATATTGGTAACTTCTTTCGACTTTGTATTCACTGTTCAGTATGATTGAAGACACCTGTAATGAAATCATAGTGGACTAATATCTAAATTAATGGGGATTTTAATGAGTAATGACGTCCAGTTTGTCTATTATCCATGAAGAATTATATCCTTCGAGTGTTTTTCTAATTCGAAGTCATCAGTCATGATGATGAATAATCAGACGAAACATATTTTATCGTATATTCCTATTCCCCTGAGTAGGAATATACCGAGTAGTCCATTCAGGACTATCCACACTCGATATCTCTCATCGAAATGATTTCACAAAAAATTATGAAACACATGATATTTGGCGCATTACGAGTAATCCATACTTCAACACTCTGCTTCCCAGAGCCATCTCCTCTATAATTCAAATAGGAAAGTGTGGTCGCATTATGAATCATTGAAAAGATAATTCAATTCTGCATCTATCAGTGTGAATGTTTTTGAATTCCAACAATGCGTTCAAGAAATATTTGAGTTCAATGGTATGTTTCTCAATTGTGAATAACCGAATGTACGGAATGAATCATTGAATGATCATCTACAATCAATGTTCAATATCAACTCCATTGACTCCCAAACAGTGGTAGTATCTAAGTGCGAATTCTTTCCGCACATTCGAAATATTTATCTAGTTATTGCATGGCATTCAACTCTCATTCTGTTCACCTCATCACCCAGACCTAAAGATCCCGTTTTATTAATAACAGATTCCGAACAATCACAGATGAAACAATCATTGGATGTCCTATCCAGGAAGAGTGCTGGTCATTTCATTGGTCCTCTACAAAGTAGGCATCTGTGAAATTTTAGGGAAGTCAAGCCAACAGATTCCCATAACCATCATCTTCATCAAGGTTCCTGAGAGAATCGCTTTCCCAAAATTTCCCGATGAAATATGGATAGGTCGTAGAGGACCAACAGAATGAACAGCACGTTTGCCGGATTACGTCACCCAATGATTTTTTTCTGCGAAGTTATTTCAATTTCCTAATCTTCAAAATAACACCAACTGATTAGAACAATTCGCAAAGAAGAATAATGATTGAATGCCAGATAAACATCTTCAAATGTTCAAGAGAAATTCACGAATATACTCTACCACTGTCAAAAGTTAATGAAGGTTATTCTGAACATATTTTGTGGACACCTATTCAATCAACCATCCCGTACATCCAATTGAAACAGCATTCCATCCAAACTAGAATTTCTTGAGAACACCTTGTTATGATTGAAAAAACTTTGCACTATTGTCAGAGTCCAATTACCTCTGTAATGATTCATAACACGATTCTTCTTCTCTATTTGAATCATAGAAAAGGTTCCTGTGAGGAGTAGAGGGTTGAAGTATGGATTAATCGACGTGTTTCGTTATTTTTCTGAGAAATCATTTCTCTGAGAGACATCGAATGTGTAAAATGCACAAGTGAACGTGAGAAATATAATTACTTTGCGATATTGAGCTTTTTCGTCTCTTTCGTCGGCATATTCGAGGTATTGCTTTCCAGCAGCGATTTCTACTTCATCGTGTGGTAAGGGTAACCCCTTTCGAGATACACAATGTGCAGCTGGAAGAAATAATAGTCAGAAGAAAGTGATATGTTAGGCCGTTTTATATTATTTATTGGCTGTGTCAAGTCATCCGTCTGACCACGGTGGTTATACCAGAATGGTCAATGGCTGACTCGACTTCCATCCAGAAGTTGACGTGGTTACTGTGTGGGCAGGTTTGGAACGTGACCGATATTCCCAAACAGCTTATTGGTCAGACTGATGGTCAGACTTCATACTGAACGTATGTGCCTGGTCAAACCACAGACTTGACACAGCCATTAATTCACTCACCGGTCAAAACAATTCTAGGAGTGATCAAGGTGCCACCGCAATTATTTCTCAGTGTAGTATTAACTTTGAGGTACACAGCTGCTACCCATGGAAACTCGTATAATTTGGTATTTTCACTACCAATCGAAAGTGGTTTAGCATTTACATTCTTCTTTCCACACACTAGAAAAATGGGTTTTAATCGATGATTTCATTAGGCTTTATTCTTCTAGTTTGATTTCAGAATTAGAATTTTACATAGCCAGCAACACCGGCAGGAGTCAATGATCCAACTTGAGAAGAATTGATGATAAAATGTGATAGACTTGACATTCTAACTGTTTCGTCGCCAAGTGGTAGGGGATCAAGAAAAAATTAGTTGGATCACCAGCTATCGATATGCTGTGGATAAGATAATTATAATACGAACAACTGATTATTCTCGATGAAATATCATGAGGATATCTGGAAACCAAGCACACAGTTACAATGAACAGACCTAAAATTCCTGGAATATGCCTAGGTACTACATCGTAATATCTTCTACTGTATAATGCAATATTCATGGAAAATTCCATTGGAATGTCTTCAATTTGATATCCTTGAATATGTTTGCACAATATTATTCGAAAGTCTTCTTTGAAAATACCAAAAATATTTTGATATCAAAGTGAAGGTTGCCAGACCACCGACCAAATCCGATGACTACAATTCGATTTTAATCTTCGATTCCAGTATTTATCCTGAGAAAAGACGCGATTTCAACGAAGACCCTGATATTGTATGATAAACTTTTGAACACTCTGGGAAACAATTAATGAATCAATGAATTCAGTTGAAGGGCTGAAAATTGTATCGATGATAGTCGATAATAATATTCTCACAAGTTCTGGGCTCTTGATATAAATATATATTCTGTGTCCACTGCAATTGACGAAACGATTTTCTTTTCATAGAAAAGTTGTAGAAGTATCTCAAACTCGAAACTCCAAGGTATCAAAGTAATATGACTTGGAATATCCAGAATTGAAAAGAGAAGATATATGTATTATCAAATCTCACAATATTTGGTAGATACCTCAATATTTCAGGAATTCTGAGATAGCTATTGGCAAATTTGGCATCACCCACTTTTGTGGCACCAGAGGAAGGCTATTTCATGCACAAACATGTGAGATCAATGGCATATGCCGATAACTCATCGAAATATGCAATATCTCATTGTGTTTCTTGGTTAATTATGTTTCGATTTTCATAACCTTCAATTCTCGAAAGGAAGTTGTATTTAATGAAGTAATAAGTGAAACTCGATGAATATCTCACCTGGCTGACATTCTGGTTTGGTATTATCCCATAATCCGTCTTCACAATAGAAAACCTTCTGCCTTGTGTTACCTTCATAAATTTCATTATCAATACATTGATAAGTTAATTGAGTACCATTAGTGGCCTCACTACAACTGATCTTGTACCCTTCTTTATCACGGCACGTTAAAATTGTCGTCGGTGTGGAAAATAAAGGAGGACACAATCCTGAAATATATCAAAACTTTTATTTATCATAGCGATTTCCATTGGCAGAAACTATTTGAGTGTTTCTGCACTCAATGTATATGTTTCTTTCTCACTCCCATGTGTTGAACAGTGTTGAGTATAGTTGAAGAATATTCTACCAGTTCCTGCCAATGTTATCTGCTGATACTATCGGATAGGTTCGTATCATATAAATACATGGTAACACGTAACTTGGTCGCCATAGCATAAGGGCATATTTTTTCAAAAATTGTGAAACGGAAGTGTCATTGCAAGAGGTGCTCTAGTTCTTTCTCTACCAAGATCACCTGACTACCATTATCAATGGGGATCTATGGAAAGTCTTATTCTTTCAAATGAACCACGAACTAGAGGTGAGCTCTTTCAAAATATGATGCTTATAGCTGCATCCATGATAGAGACGACCCACATATTCTTCACAGATTAACGTTTCCAATGATTAGACAAGCCAGAATCTGTTATGGAGCAGAAGAGGGGGAAGTTGTGTAAGAGAAGAACAATTTTTCAATTGATAACATATCACATTCTCATAACAAACTCTGTCACATTCAATATTGCTTGTTACTCCTCAACTATAGAGTTTTGGACAAAAGTGTATAGGGTACTTTCCACTTCAAATTGTTGAAAGAATATGCCCTTGAGCTGAAGGGATCGGATCACAAGACACTCTCTAGATAGGTGAAAACGTGTCAATTTTACTGAGATACTAATTTCAATATCATGTTTTATCTCCACCAAATGGACGGTAAAAATTACTTCAAATTGACAACAGAAAATGCAAATTGTTCTCTGAGTTGGTCACTCATGAAACGATTCCGTTGAGGAGAGGTGACCAAATTCAGATTGAAATTAGAAGAGAATTTTACTCGATCACTATTTTGGCTGCTAGATGATAGTGTGGCGTATCTTGATCAACAAGCAATCACGTATACAGCGACAAAAATGCTACTGTACCTTTTGTACCTTTGAATTGATAGAAAATATCATCATTAATTTTGTAGTAAACTACTGAACTTTTCATGAGGTTGTCGCTACTTGAATCATTTCCTAATATTTGGGTGAATTCTCGGTTACATTATTTTGATAGATGTATTGGTAATTTCCACTTCAATTAAAAATTGAAGATCAAGGAGCAGAGATCTCAACTTTTGGGTGATACCTATATAACTGATGAGTCTCAGAAATTTCATCTGCTGCATACCCATCTTCATTGCAGTGAAGTTAACTCAAACCGAATTGAATTTCAGCTTATGATATCTCATTGAACTCGTCCTTTTGAGGTCCATCGAAAAACAAGATGAAATTTAGGATATTTCATTCTACTTGTTTATTTGGGATTTTCTCTTCTCGTTTCTTTGAAATGAAAATACACAAGTGAAATGAATGTACCACCACTCGATTAACCTACAGTCAGTAATTAGGGTACCTATTCCATGCAAGAAGAACTCATATTTAAAACAGAAAATTCACATAACTACGAACAACTTCGATTCGATAAAGTAGTACATATACTATGTTATGTGGGATACACGGAAAAAAAGGATTGTTGAATCAAGAAAAATTTGATTGAATGAGAAAATAATCTTGACATGATTGAATCTATATCTTGTTTCAGAGTGAACTTGGAGTTTCAATCGAGTAAATATGTCTTGCATGAACTCTGGATCTTCTTCAATCAAGCACATCCATGAATTGTTCATGAAGAGATATTGAATTGGCTCAAACAATCATTTTGTCTGATTCGAAATAACAAGATATTGATTCAATCAAATATGCAGTGGATTCGACGAAATATTTGATTGATACAAAGAAATATTTGTTTGATTCAAGAGAAACTATTTATCCATTCGACAAATTAGTTTTGTTGAACCAAATTCAATATTCGGAAATTTTCTGAATTTTCACATCAATAGGATGAACAAAACTAGGAAACTAGTCGACTCCTAGCATAGATCTTCAGTCTTCACTTTTCTTGATGCTGATGCAAAACTATTTCGGATTGCTAAATATCCTAAGTTCGATTCATCCAGCTGATATTTCAACCACGAAGAATCTGACTTCACGTATATATTGATTTTGAGGCAGGCATAGACGAGGCGAGATGATCGCCATCTAGAGGCAAAAATTTGAATTTATGTAGAATGAAAAAAATATTTCATTGATATTACATATTTCGTTGCTCTATTCAAGCAAATGATCCGTTCGAAACAAGTTCATTGATACATCGGGATAAAAAAACTTGTATGTTGTTTCGAAGATATATTCTCATGAAAATGATCTTTGTTTGATCAAATCAACGAAATGTTTATAGTTGAATCAACATCGACATTATCTTGGATCGAGATATTTTGTTTTCGAGAAAACCATATATATTCTGTTGATTGAATTGATATTATACTGTTGATTCAATCAGACTAAACTCTTGATTTGAACAAGCTGCTTCCATGGAGTAATCATGCTGGTTGATTCAACAAAAACTTGCTCAGTCCAACAAAAATAACTCGAGCATAAATATTTGTTGATGCAAACAATCCTTTTTTCTGTGTACCTTGTATCATGGCACATGCCGCACACCATGAATAATACCCGAATAATAAATGGATGTTCTTTATAGGGCATGTTGTCCAATTTGGTATACTAATGATTTTCCGCAAGAAGACACAATTATTCTCGAATTCTTCATTGAAAAACTTGAGAGAATAAACTTCTAACGCATTCTTAACGCCCTGCCCATCGCTTATGGGTCTGGACTCTTTGTATGTTAATTGTTCATAACACTTTCGTCTACCACTAAACGAAAATTTGTGACGTCTTTTTTTTCTCTATCCAACATTTTTGGCATTCGTTGTTTCAACTATACTGTCCTAGCAGATGAAATAGAAGACTAGATTCCTAGTTAAGTGAACAGAAAGGTAATCGATGGGACACTACTCTGTTTCACCACTAACCAAACCGATTTTTCAAATGTCTCGACACTTGTTTCGCTAATTATATTAGCATCTTCAGGAGAAGATTGAATCTGACGTTTCAGTCTTCGACTTATGTGATCGATGGGTTCTTTGAAAAATTACCATGGTAATAACTTGACACGTTATATTCCTAATCGACAGATACATTCCACGAGTGGTGTCAGGCGTATGGCCAAAAATTGATAGTTGCGGATTTGATACATTCAAAATAGTGGTTCTCATGTAATAGACGTTTGAAGTGGATAACAATGTCCGATTCCACCAAATAGATGAACCGAATGCACGAAAGCACAGTGTTCGGGTTGAGAGTGGTTAACCGCAAGCCAAATATTTCGTATTATTTTCTTGAAGCCCACATGTGGAATTCTTTCTATAATTATCATGAATACGTCAAATGAAGCGATCCAAATAATTTGTTGCTCTCCAAAATTCATTGGACTGATACAAATTCTCAAATCCTCACACTTACTATGACATTTTGGGAATGTTCCGGACCAATCCCCGTCACACACAATATATGCTGGCACATTGACTACATCTGGGATTGTCAACTTGAATCCTCTGAAACATTCGAACCTTATGGCCGTACTCTTCTCCACCAAATCTCCTGGCTGTTTTTGGCCGTTCAAAATAACCCATCGTCCGTTTTCTGGGAACTGTGGCAATATACATCTGTGGAAATTATTTCAATGGAGTACACAATTATCATGATTTTTTTTGTATTTTCGAACTATCCATATCAGACCGGAACGTTCAAGAATTATTAATACAGTAATTCAAAAATTGAACCCAGTGAATTTCAGCGTATGGCTGGAGGCAGTTGCTTCTGTGTCCTACGAAACGATTAAAATCACTTTTTACAATGAGAGTTATCGATGCATAGGTAATTTGCGTGAATATAATTGTGACGTCATCGGTAAATTTTTTCTTAGGAAACTTTATGAAATAGCATAATATAGACGAAACATCTTGATTTGTTTCTGATGAAACATGCGGAGATTTTGTTTCTACGGCAATCAGGATTCCTTGTATGCTTTCAAATTACATTATTTCTCTAAAATTTTCGCGAAAATTTCAAATGGGTACCTACTCTTCTTGAATTGACATCAATGAAATGAAAGTCATCATGTACAGATATAAGTGCTCAATACACTACACCCCTTGTTTTTATAATCAATCAAAACATTATAAGAGTTTTATTCAAAGGTAAATTCGGTAATTTTTTTTTCAGGCACTTTTTTGAAATAGCATATAGACGAAACATTTTGATTTGTTTCTGATGAAACATGCGGAGATTTTGTTTCTACAGCAATCAGGATTCCTTGTATGCTTTCAAATTACATAATTTCTCTAAAATTTTCGCGAAAATTTCAAATGGATACCTACTCTTCTTGAATTGACATCAATGAAATGAAAGTCATCATGTACAGATATAAGTGCTCAATACACTACACCCCTTGTTTTTATCATCAATCAAAACATCATAAGAGTTTTATTTATAGGTTATAGTGATGAAGATAACCCTCAATATTTTTTTCATTAAAATAAAAAACAAGAGGTATAGTGCGAAGAGCATTTATCTGAGGATATTGTTTTATGTTTCAATGTTGATTCAGGAAAAGCACAACTCTTTATTCATAATTGAATAAAAATATAGAAACGCAACCACACATATATCATATTGTATGTATGAAGAATGATACCTACCTGGTGAATACAAGAACCATGCAAAATGAGTTGCGATAATGTCGCTTGTTTGATATACAAGGTGTCTAGAACAACGTATTATAGATTCGACAGGATGAACTACCTAGTCAACAGAATAGACTGATTGAAATCAATTCACCTCCATACGAAAATGCAATGTTGAGGGCGATGGAGAATAATTTTATTCACAGATTATCCTGAATATTTCGAAATTCTTGGAAGGGACTGATCTCAAATTGGTGAGACAATCATGAATGTGCATAAAATCCATGTCATAACCACTTTATTTAATATTGTCGCAACTCGAGTGTACTCGCTTGTCTATTTTGCGAGAAGATTCTCGGTATTTATCATCACCCAAGAACATTCATTCCGAAATGAAGAGAATTTGTTTTCGTAAGTATAACAAACAATTTATGCAATTTCGAAAACACAAAAATGTGCCAAAAAGACGAAAGAGCGATAACAAACATGCAACGAGTGAACAGAAACAACCAGAGTCGAGGGGATGTCACAAATATGCCATCAAACTGACATATAGTGCCACTTTGGAAGTCAACAATCGATGAATGCATGTAATGTAATAATTAATGTGAATCAATTGATCAATTGATGATAAATATTGTGTTACATCAACAGTCCACTGTGGAACTGACACTCTTTGGAATTTTGCAACAAGTTTTCGATTCTTGTATCACTACTGAATTAATAATGTAAGATAATTCAAAAAACCAAAAAGAATTCAAAATACAAAAATAGCAATCAGAAAGAAATCAGATGATTGATTTCGTCATTCACGGAAATTTCAAGATATGGTCAGTGGTGTACACTGGAAAAGTAATATAAATTTCCATAAAAAACAAGCAGAATACATATCTCCCTGTATATTGATTCAATTGATATGATATGTTTTTCACGTTCAATCACGATGATAAATTGCTCAACAAATTTTGGAGCAGTACCTTCGAAGAATTATGGAATATTCAAGAAAATCTGGAAATGAAATCATTCTTCAACGTCCTCCCACGGCTCAATGCTGCATTTTACTTTGGAGGTGAGTTGACTTAAATTGGCTGGTATCTTGTTCACTCTGTAGGAGTTACTGTACGTTGTTCTGGGACACTTTTCATTCTTGTTCATTTCCACAAGAATGTGCAAGTTTTTCCAATATATTGCATTGAAAAGATCGTCAAATGAAAGAAATACTTCAAGAAAATGAAATGTTGCTCGGATGTGAACCACGCCTACCCAGGTAACAAGCTGACGTCATTTGTACGTCAATATATGGTCATTTATGGTCATTGACGTCATATGACCTCAAAATGACGTCATTTTGACGTACTTAATATGACGTTATATAGACGTCCTTGATATGTCGTCATTTTGACGTCATCTGATGGTCATTTTCATGACTAATTATGACCATCATTTATTGAGTCATCTACATCAAGGAAAATCCAAAATCAAGAAGTTTCTCATCTCTGTTATATGAAAACGTTAGTAGTTATGTTATATAACATATATTATGATGTCACTCATCATATATTATGCTTCATAATAATTTTTCCTCTAATCTTTGCGAAATGTGTGTTTTCGATGGTCTCTGAGATAATTGTTAATTATATACCTTCTGTGCAAAGTATTCTCCCTATAGCTATTAAAAATATAAGACCGAATGTCACGTCATGAAAAGCTTATAACGTTGTTATTCCGGAATGCGAATTCAAATCAGAGCGGGAGAGTGCGTTGAGAACTGTATTTGATTGGTCGGCACGGACCTTGCGCAGACATGCGAACGTCGACCGCCAGCGCCAACGCCAACCCACAGCCGTATTCAGAAGACGGCTGTGGCCAAGCCGTTCACTTTCGCTTCGCCGTTGCGGCCATGATGACCATAACAACAAAATAACAATACATAGAAGGCCATCATTATCATGTTATTCAGCTATCTATGTGGTGTGGTGTGGTGGTCATACTTATACATATTCATATATCAAGTAGTAGAATTTGAGGATGGCAGCATGGTCATTATTTTAGACAAGTGGTGTATGCCGAAAAAGCAGAATACAAATTGGACGCCATTGAAGGAATACCATAGGGTTCTGAGAAATCTCTTGAGTGCATTGTAGAGTATCCTGTATATAGTTAAGAATTACAGATAGTAATCTTTGAAATGTCATGACATGGTTGTCAGGATACACATTTTGGATTAGATAAATAAATAGACATTCAAATTAAATCTATTTGAATTAAGTCATAATTCTATAAATATTATAACATATTTACATGGCGCAGTCGTCCTACGCTTTAAAACAGCAATAAGACTGGTAATCAATTGGAAAGTATGGGTGATAGTCGCGGAATAGCACCTATGTCCATGGTAGGTAGCATTGCCGAAAACTGGAAGATATGGAGAGCACGCTTTGAAAACTACATCATAGCCAGCACAATTAGTAAGGAAGAAGAAAAAGTGCAATGTGCTCAAGTACTTCATCTCATTGGAGAGGATGGTTTCAATATCTACACAACATTCACATTCGAGGATAATGAAGAAAACAATCTCAAGGTACTGCTAGATAAATTCGAAGCACATTTTCTACCAAGAGAAAATTTAACTTATGAGCGCTACAAATTCATATCATACAAACAACAACCAGGACAATCATTGGATCAATTTGTTACTGAACTGAAGAGAATGGCAATACAATGCAAATGGGGAACTCTGCGAGAAGAAATAACAAAAACTCTTCTAATCTGTGGTATATCTGATTCTGGAATGAGAGAAAAACTTTTACAAGAAGATGACAAACTGTCTTTGGAGAAAGCTATTGAAAAATGTTCCATCATCGAATCATCAAGACTTAGAAATGCAAGTTTGGAGAACCACTTCAATGAAAATGCGTGGAATAGTAATTCAGTGAATATTATACGTAAGGGAACATTTAACTATAAAAAATCATCATCAAATAATGAATGTCAGTTTGACAAAAGTTCTGATACAAATCGTAAAATTAAGTTATGTTATAGGTGTGGAAAATCTCATGTAATCAACAAATGCCCTGCATTTGGAAGAGAATGTAGTTATTGTCACTTTAAAAATCATTTTGAAAGTCAATGTTTCAAAAAGAAAAACAGAATTCATGAAATAGCAGCAGACGAGGTGGTGGATTCTATAAAAACTAATGATGATTTTTTATTTGTTGGATCAGTTTTGGAGGTAAATGGAGTAGAAAACAATAAAGAATGGTTCACTGATTTAGAAATAAATAATAGAAATCTCAAATTAAAAATTGATACAGGGGCTATGGCAAATATATTGCCTTTGAAATCATTCAGAAGATTAGACATTTCATTGAAAAAAATTTGTAATACTGATATAAAACTGAAATCATATACTGGCAATGAACTCAATATCGTAGGTAAATGTACCTTGCCTTGCTTTAAAAATGATATGATCCTGGATTTAGATTTTTTTATTGTTGAGACTGACACTCCAGCAATCTTAGGTTTATCTGCCTGCATCGATTTCAAATTAATTAAAAGAATTGATTCAATTGGTGATGAGAATATTGAATATAAAAAATGGATTGATGAGTATGCTCAGCTATTCAAAGGAATAGGTTGTTTAAATAAAGCTTATGAAATCAAATTAGAAGAGAATTCCCAACCAATTATCCATCCCACAAGAAAAGTTGCAATTCATTTGTTAGATCCTTCGAAAGAAAATATTGACGAATTAATCAAAGAAAAAATAATTGAGAAAGTAGAAGGTAGTTCAGACTGGGTTAATCCATTGGTGATAGTTCGGAAGCCAAATGGTAAAATTAGAATATGTCTTGACCCAAAGGAATTGAATAAAGTGATAAAACGTGAATATTGTAAGATTCCAACATTCGAAGAAATTTCTGGGAAATTAGCAGGAGCAACATTATTCAGTACTCTTGATGCCACATGTGGTTTTTACCAAATTCCTCTAACTGAAGAAAGTTCGAACATTTGTACTTTTGGTACACCTTTTGGCCTATATAAATTTCTTCGTCTTCCATTCGGCATCAAGACAGCTTCTGAAGTTTTCCAAAATCGCTTTAGAGATATTTTCAATGTCAACGGTACTGAAGTGTACATATATGATGTAATTGTATGGGGAAGAACAAAGGAAGAACATGATGAAAGATTAAAAAAAGTATTTGAACTCGCTAAAAATAATAATATCAAATTTAATCTCAATAAATGCAAATTTGGTAAAAAAGAAATAAAATACATGGGTCATATCATCTCAGTAGACGGCGTGGCTCCAGATAAATCCAAAATAAAAGCAATAGCAGAGATGCCACGTCCAACATGTAAAGAGGATGTTCAAAGACTATTAGGAATGCTAACATACGTAAATCGATTCATAAAAAACTTTTCTGACAAAACTTCTCCTCTAAGGAATTTATTGAAGAAAGATAACGAATTTATTTGGCAAAAAGAACATGAAGACTCATTTGAAGATCTGAAAAATGTATTGATGAGTAAAAAAGTTCTTCAGTTTTATGATAGGGATAAAGAAACAGTTATTTCGGTTGATGCTTCAAAATCGGGTGTTGGGGCTGTCTTACTACAAAATAAATTACCTTGTGCGTATGCCTCAAAAGCATTAACTGAAACTCAGACCCGATATGCTCAAATAGAAAAAGAGCTATATGCAATTTGCTTTGGAATGAATAAATTTTATGAATATGTTTATGGCAAAAGAACTATCGTGGAAACAGACCATCAACCATTAATTTCAATTTTCAAGAAACCATTGAATAAATGCCCAGCTCGTTTGCAACGTATGATGTTACAGTTGCAGAAATTTGACATCGAACTGAGGTTTAGACCAGGTAAAGAATTACTTTTAGCGGATGCTCTATCTAGAGCATACTTGAATGAGAAATGCAATAGTGACTTTGATTCAGAACTAGAAAATCATGTTTGTTTGGTCAAAATGGAATTAAATGCAACTCCTGAAAAATTAGCACAATTAAAATTGGAAACTGAGAAAGATTCTGAATTGAGAGACTTGAAAGAGATGATTTTGAATGGATGGCCAAACTCAAATAATAAAATTAAAAATCATTTAAGAATATATGCTAATTACAAAGGTGATTTAGTAATTGTTGATGGATTAATATTCAAAGATAACTGTTTACTTATTCCAAAATCATTAAGACAGGAAATGTTGGATCGAATTCATTGTAGCCATCTTGGCATTAATAAATGTATAAAATTAGCACAAGAATCGTTATTTTGGCCAGGTATGATTGATCAAATAAGACAAAAAATTTCTCAATGTCACAGTTGTCTCACTTTCGCTAACTCACAAATGAAAGAACCGTTAATTTCCCATTACATTCCAGATATCCCCTGGAATAAAGTTGGATGCGACATATTTGAGTTATACAGTAGAAAATATCTCCTTGTAACAGATTATTTCTCAAAATACGTAGAAGTTATTAATTTGGAAAATAATTTAAGCAGTCTTAATGTAATAAATTCTTTGAAAAGAATCTTTGCGAGACATGGCATTCCTTTAACTGTTGTATCAGATGGAGGACCTCAATTCTCTTCTAATTTATTTAAAGAATTCTCGCAAGAATGGGATTTTCAACATTCAATATCCTCACCCACTAATGCACAATCAAATGGATTGGCTGAGAGACATATCCAAACAGTTAAAAAATTATTAAAAAAAACTTTGGATGAACGAAAAGACATCAATCTAGCATTGTTGCATTATCGAACAACTCCAATTTACAAAAATATATATCCTGCAGAAATACTTATGTCAAGAAAACTTAGAACTAATCTGCCAATAACAAGCCAACAACTAAAACCTATAGTTCAAAAAGAATATAATAAAAAGGTAATTACAGATAGACAAGTCAGTCAACAGACATACTATAATAGTAAAGGCACTAAATCACTAGGTATACTTGAAGATAATTTGGAGGTTTATGTGCAAATAGAACCACAAGGTATCTGGTATCCCGGAAAAGTATTAAAAAGAGTCAGAGATAGAACTTATATTCTAAAAATGAGAAATGGATCAATCTTAACGAGAAATCGTAGATTCATAAAACCAGCTAATCTTTCGAACAGAAAGAGTGATATAAATAATTCATCTTCTTCGAGAAATCAAATAGTGGAAAATAAGGAGACTAGGTATTTCATTGAACTCAAGAATAATGAAAACAATATTGAGGATAATGATAGTTCAGAATTGGAACCTGAACAGCATATAGTAGACAGAGATGATAAGACAAATAATTCTATATATTCGAGTTCAGATAAATACCTTGCTTCTACCTCCAATAGCGATCATAGTAGTGTCTCTATAAATAATGATGAATGTAAAGATTCAAGTTCAGAGGAGAACATTGTTGAAAAAGAAACAATCACCTCATATGGTAGAGTTTCCAAGCCTCCTCAGAGATTGGGTCTATAATAATAATCGTGTTATATTTCATCTTCCGAAGGAGGGGGATGTAGAGTATCCTGTATATAGTTAAGAATTACAGATAGTAATCTTTGAAATGTCATGACATGGTTGTCAGGATACACATTTTGGATTAGATAAATAAATAGACATTCAAATTAAATCTATTTGAATTAAGTCATAATTCTATAAATATTATAACATATTTACATGCATCATCCGAATGGAATAAATTCCCAATAAAAAGAACATTTTATGAAACTGGTATTTATAGTACCTACCCATAATATTATTTTGCATTTAATGTGTAAAGGAACATCAATATAATTATACAAAAAAAATCTCATCTTTTCTGATACTATTGATGCAACCCTAATGCAACAGTGTTTTTTTTACCTACAGAAAATTTCGAAATAGCACAAAATAAGCTGAAACATGCAGAAGATTTCAGTGATATGAATAATCGTAAAGATCACGTCATTTTGACGCCATTAGGATGTCGTCATTTTGACGTCATTAGGATGACGTCATTTTGACGACATGAAAATGACGTCATTCGTCTTTGACTTAGAAGGTCATATAAACGTCATTATGACGTCATTTCGGAAGTCATCCTGACGTCAGGCCTGACGTGATAATGACGTACAAATGACGTCAGCTTGTTACCTGGGTAATGATCGATTAATCACGATCTGTGATTTTTTCAAAATATTAAACACGTTACCATTGCAAGACAATTTCTTGAACACATTACCATGGCAACAAAGTTTCTTCAACACACCTTCGGTCGTTGTAGGAACTGTCAACTGTCATTTCGGAATTTTGTTGCAATCAGAATTATTCAAACAATTTCCGTTTGTATCAGAATTCTTCATCACCAATTTATGCGAAATGTATTTCAGGAAGGTATTTCAAAGAACTCAATGTAGCTCTTATATTTGTGGGCTATTGAATGACAATAAAAGTGGAGCAGAATATTCATGTGAGCAAAATTATGCAATCAGAATATGGATGCAAACCTAACAAATGAAAAATGTTGCCACCTCAGCGAATCGAAGAGTTTTTATCTTCTACATCATATGAAATCCTATTCACGAAGGTCAGTTAACAAGCCATCTCAATAGAAATTTATATATCCTATGGACTGGACGCACAAAAAAGTTTCGATTAGTATCTTGCTCCATACCAACTTTCTGAAAGTTTATTCAAGGAACCGAATGAGTGAGAAAATTTCGTTGTTTTTTTTTCGAGTATTCCAAAACGCGCCAGGAAATTTTGTTGAATAATTCCATATTCAGATTCACCATCAACAGAAAGTGCTGAACAGCTTCGTAAAATTAGCAAATTTTGCTCTCATATATTATAAAGTGCCACTTTCAACATGGATAATCCATCATGTGATTTGCTCATGCATAAAACTTGCCAACTTACCCTTCAGTTTGTCGTTTTTCACGAGTGCTGTTTCCATTATCATCTCTTGATACTTTTCTTGGGGTGTCATTGTGAGACAGAGCCTCTCCTGAAGAAGAGAGTGGGAATACATAAATAGAATTCATCAATTAGAAATATAAAAGAGAGCAATATCAATTTTTCTATACTATCAGGATATTTGGAACGTCCACAACTTCTTTTTCAATTCAGATTGCTGATACAAAATCAGCACCAAGTTGTGACAAGAAATCAGCACCAAATTGATACAAAAAATCAACACTCAACTTCGAGTTATATCCCTTTCGCTCCAGAACATCTCTATCCAATGACTCTTTCATCCAACGAACAGCGAGGCTCTGGAACACATAGCCAAGCGAGGTGTTCCCCAATGCATATAACCTCCAGAAATTCAAGAAGAACACCAATTTCTACTTTATTTCCTTTGGTTCTCACGATGTTCTCTGAACATTACAGAATATCCCTTTTCGTGGGAACCAGAACATACAAAAAAGAAATACAAAATTGTGACTTACTTATTATTTATAAATTTAATTGAAGGTGAACATCTGCTGTGACTGTGTTTAAGCCGTTTCCACATGATTGTGGGGTTCCTCATGAACATCAATTGGTTCTACGAGTATGCGCAAGGCAATACACATTTGCATGCGTAGAGTCACAAATTTCCTTACGCCGTGCAGACATAGGAGTTTCATCCGCATTGAGTGCGGAAGAGTTAAACTACTTAAAAATCACACTAGTATGGTAAATTTGAATTCATTTCAGTTGCTGTAGACTATTTCATGCAATACGAGAAGCCGTTGCAACTGTATTCCTCTTTACCTTTCAACTCGTATTCCCCGATATTTGTATGTTTTTCAGCTTGTAACAAACAAAAAAAATCAAGTACTTTGTATAATAATCAATATCATTGTCAAACAACAATGACTGCACTAGTCAACTTTGACGTGATGTCAGATTTTTCCTCGTTTTCTGTCAGCAAGAATTTACAAACACCAACACTTTTTCATTCATCGAATCAAAAAGGTTTGAAAGCTATTATAATGAGTAGTTCTGACGACAAGCTATCAGATTGCATCTTGCTAGAGGCAAAAACACTGTAAGTTTCAAAATTATTGACCGCTTATTCTCAACAAAAATATAAGAAACAAAATATAATTTCAATATGGTGCCACAATGGAAGGAAAAATCAAGCCTATCAAGGAGGAGGTGTTCCTAGCCTTCTTTGCAGATCCACAATAGTTATTTTCCTAACAAGTGCGCAAAGTGTTACTTTTCCGCACGCAAATACAGTTAGGCGAACGACGCGAAGTGGAGTTCGAAAAAGTTTTTGCGTGCGGAAAAGACACTTTGCGCACGTGTTAGGAACAACCTTTTTCCTACGAGCTTCATATAAGATAAAAAGGAAAATTAAAAAATATATGTAACTTATTGAGAAATGTAAATATACAAAGATCACATATAACAATACAATATAATAATAGAATATCACATTTTCCCTACGAGCTTCATATCAGATAACTAAAATAAAAAAATTTCAAGTTAAATTACAATAATGTATTGAATTATTTTTAGTTTAATTTGATAGAAATAGCCAAACAACAAACAATTACATATCAATAAAATATAATGATAGAAAATTAAATCATCCGTTCCTAATATTTATATTGAGGTGAAATACAAATATCAGGAAGAACGGTTGAAAAGTAAAAGGGATAACGGCTTCTTATAGTGCATACAATAGTCTACATCAACTAAAATGAATATAAATGTTCCATACCAGTGAGATTTTTGGGTAGTTTTACTTATCCGCACGCCATGCGGATAACACCCATATCCGCACTGAGTGCGGAAATCTGTCACTGCCGGACTTAGTAAAGGTGTGAGTGTGCATTGTAGACACTAAACTTTGAATGTTTGTGAATATTTTTTTTCTGAAACTTTGTGTACATGTAAATGAATAATTGTTCTCCTCGATAATTATTTAGGTAGGTAGTAATTTCAAAACTGGGGTCCAGTTTTCTCGGAGAGAGGGGTCATGTCACGAGTAGAACATACAGTATATTAGTAATTTGGAACCATGAGGGTTTTATAAACATAAAATTAATCAAATCATCCATTGACATCAAACTATGAAAACTGACCAAGGAACTCTCATGAGAAACGTGCAAATCTGATAAAATGATGTATATAAATATCAGATGTGAGGGTTCCGAAGTTAGTCTGGTCTGGGGCTACTCTTGACTTGACAAGAGCTCGTCGTTATGGTATCTATAATGTAAGTTGTTATTAGGTCTTTATATTCATTGTTGTTTATTCATGATTGTTATCGCTACCCATAATGTTTCATGTTTCAATACATATTGCTATCTTTGAATATAGTCTCGTACTTTCAGTTACCCCTAAACTATTAGTGCCTATTTAAACATAACCTCTCGCCTCTCGCAAAATATCAAGCCAAGCATCACCCCTTATTCATAATGGTTATTGATAAATATTAATTCATGGTGGAAACAACCCTTTAACCGTTTGTTGTGACATGGTGGAGGCGCCAATGGCTCGTTCCCGAGGTTGGTTCTTCATAACCAACCTCACACTTCAAAATCTCATGTTCTCTTGTTTTTTCAATTAAATTATTTTCATTTCATTGAAGTCAAACAAATATTTCAACAAGACAGTTCTCATTATTTTAAGTATTGAATATAAAAATGTGTTTTTATATGGGGCGATTTGCGAACGGTCCAGCATGCTAAAACTGGACTGCCTCGGTTTGATCTTCAAATGGGGCGTTCCTGGTAGTGCACACAGATAGGCATGCTAAAACCATCTGTACCCATACAAAAACTAAGCAAACAATATCACTTCATTTTTAACAACAAACAACCATTTTAATGTGACAATATGTTGAGAAGTTTTCTTGAAATTGAAATAAACTTGAATTTGAGTCAATATTTCAAGCTAACATCGTTTTTGAAGAAGCAAAATGTGGGATACCGACCGAAAGAGGTCAAACTCTTCAAAAAAGTTAAATTTTCAGATTTTTGGAAGATACACTTGATCAGAACCTTCTAAATTCGTCATCATTTCCGGGTTGGCCAGTGCCTCCTTCATTTTCGTCGTTAATGATATGAAGACCGTAAGAAAAATGTTGTTCCTACCACGTGCCCAAAGTGCCTCTTCCGTGCCCAGAAGAACTCTGCTACGCAACGTTCACCTAATTGTATTTTGTTCGGAAAAGTAACACTATCCCAGGCAACCAGATGACGAATGATCACGTCACTGTGACGTCCCTAATTGGTGATTTTTCGTCAGAGACATCACACACCAATTGATGACGTCACTATGACGTGATAATCACATCATCGTTTCGACGTCGAGTGAATGTCACTTAGATGGGTGAAAGAAGACGTCAGTTTCATGACGTTGCAGGGACGTCCTGTCGACGTCCATTTTTCCCAGACCTTATCTATTTTATACCATGGATACTTATATATTATGTTGTGAAACAGAAGTATAACTGATGAAAGCAAACCAACATGCAAGTTTTATTCTAATTATCAATATATACCCGAAGAGTAGCAGAAAAACTTTTTTCTAAAAAACTTTGACACATTGTATATCTCGGAAACCAACAAGCTATGTATATATAAAAATGATTGTTTAGGCATACGGCATACCTATATTGAAACCGTTACTATTATGACGTTGCAGTGACGTATCTATGAGGTCTAAAAATCACATCGGTGTGACGTACCACTTTGGTGAGCTTCGTCATTTAGGAAATTTTTCAATAATTTGCTATTCAGATTCTTGTTGGGTGACAAAGAATGCATCAATATACATTATTCAACAAAGTGAAGCCAAATTTGCCAACATCCTTTCCATTGCTATCAAACTATTCATTGTTTGCTTACATCTCGCCGACACAAACTACATAATTTTTGATACAAATACGAGTAACTGATTGCATTATGATGAAGATGCGTACTGAAGACTGGCGCTGCTGAATAGGCAATTGAATGAACATGACACAGGAGCGACCCATCAAGCAGACTTAACAATGCATAATCAATATTATATAATGTCATCAGAGGCTAGTGGTGTTTATCACACCATGTTGAAGGAATATTTTTTACGTATCATCGCCAAATTCAATCGTCATTTTCACGTCATTATGACGTCAGTCGGACGTCACAGTTTGGTGAGTGAATGACGTCAATACGACGTGAGTAATATGACGGCATTGTGCTGTGACTTATTCACGTCATTATCACGTCAATGCGACGTCAACTACTGACGTCACCTTGGTCATTCAAGTGACGTAAAAAAGACGTCACTGGAACGTCATCTGGTTGCCTGGGTTGCGCACTCATTTGGAGAATGAATAAGAGCAATATTGCAGTGTTTTTTCTGTTCATTCATGTTGAGCCTGCTTTACTGTGATCATTGCTTCAACCAGTCATGTCGACCAAAAGTAGGTACATGTATTTTTCACTTATTTCCACTGCATGCAGTTATCAATTATTATTGTTCACGAGAGAACAGGTGTTGAAAGAGAGAATACGTGCAATATCGGATTCTAAGTCAGGAGATTATTATTTTTTTAAGCCGGTTTTGATTCACAATAATTATTATTGTATATATCCAAGACTGGATAAAACTTTGGCTCGATAACCCATAATTATACTATTCTACCACTGATAAAACCGATTCTTTGAACGCCTCGACACGTGTTTCCCTATGTCAACATCTTCAGAAGAAGGTTGAAAATAATAGTCCTATTCTAGTGTGCGATTTTCATGTATACTAGGTATATGTCCGCCCAAAGGTTAGAGACACTAACCACCTAGTGAATGTTTGTCATGATTGAATTCACATGTTATCCTCAATCTTATTTCACCAAACTATACAGAGAGCTATATGAAATAGTCTTTCATCCATATTCATCACTCTATTACTATTCCTATATATATTTCGACGCTGGCTCAACTGATTTTAGGTTATAAATTCGTGTATCATGATTTTGATTCAACGTGTGTTCGGCTACACAACACAAGATTCATCTAACCT